CAAAAAACATGTTGCTATACAAAACGTTTTTAGAGTTATTTATTCTTTAGTTAGTTTGCTTATCATTTTGAAGCAATTTTGATGGATTGTGATGGGCAGTAGAATGCATGATGCATATTACGTCCTAATTGAGGCTCGTCATTTGGAGGCACCTGCATTTCCCAGTGAATAATGGTGTTCCCACTGGGTTTCAAACGCCGAAAAGTTATCCATCCGATCACTTGGACCGTAAAAGTCAACTGTTGCGCAACTAGCATTAGTTAATATTTGTTGATGAATTGAACCGAAATTTTCCGCCCATGTTGACATATCCAGATGACGAGTCCCAAATAAGCCGAAATGTACTTCAAGTCAAATCCTCAGATATCGTCGAAGCATCCATACTGGCAGTCAAAATGGTAATAGATGCCGATCATTTCGGACTAGTCAATTAACGGTAAAATCAAAATTGAAATATACAATGCTTATCATTTTCGCTAATGTGCTGTTAAACACAGACACAGTAAACATTAGCCAGTGTGGAGTATTTTCGTTTCCTGTAGGCGACAAGAACTTTTCAGAATAAAAAATATAAATTTTGTAGACATTTTAAGCTAGCAACCACAGGAATTTCATTTCTTGTATTCATAAAGCTATTCAAAAAATACTTCTACTTTTGAAGTGATTATTTAAACAAAAAGTTGAAATTAAGGGAACACTTAGTTATACAAGGACAGTAATTTTTAAAAAAAAATCTGTGACATGGATTGATAAGCATTTCCAAACAATTTTTATTACATATTCTTATCACTTATTTTTTGCAATCTTAAAGTTGTTTTAGTGACGAGTGTTTGCACTGACCTTAAACAAGGTCACTTCTTCGCGGGATACAAATTTGATGAGAAGAAAATGGGTGAATTTTTTGTGTACAACCTGTATCTAACAAATCTTATGCAGAATTACATTTAACAGGGAAAATAAGTAACCGTATATTTGAAATTTTTAAACTGTAAAAGTAAACCACCCTCTAAAATAAAGAGTTTAAACAACTGAAAAGATAGTCATAACATTCTTTATTAGTATTTGATTGAGAAATACTCTTACATTACATAACTTGTTTCGTATGTTTCTAATGACTGTCAACAAACATCTAAAATAATTGATTATCCATGTTTAAGGATATGCTAAGGATCATCTAAACAGTCTCTTTCATTCATTTATTCCCCTTAATGAATTTGAACAAAACAAAAACTACTGTCTTAGCAGAATAAATTGGTAGGATAATTGTTCATTTTGTTGCCTTCTTGTCAGCTGCTTACAGGCCAAAGACATTATTAAATATAGCTACAAAAACAATTTTAACATACTGGCACAGACAGTTCATTTTAAACAAAAATCAATCGATTAATATATGCATACTGTAATAATATATACATATATATGTAATATTAAGCAACATTCCGAACAATCATACACACTGGAAACTTTTCAGCATTTCGCATCCATATGAAAGAGAGATGAAAATATCCAGTTACCAGGGTGGCAAAGAAAGACTTATAACCGCTTCTTTCTGGATGCATAAATCAGGTTTCAGGCGCTTGATGGAAATGGCTTCAGCGAACTTGAGGAGATTTGAGCTCTTTTGCCTATTGATAATTTTGAACGACTTTTTGACGTCCAGCTCTTGACTCATGTCAAGGAGATGCCTGGCGATTGCACTGTTTGAAGCATCTGTTCCCTTTAGATGTAGGCTTTTTGGTACGTGTTCAGAAAATCGTAGATATTCCCTTCTTCTTTCTGTCCTTCCAATGTAACCGCTCCCGCAGATACATGTAAATTTGTATATACAGTTGGAGTTAACATGAGAAGGATATCTATCGATTTTTGATTGCACCAGAGAGCAAGTTGTTCGGTGGACGGGGACGAGCTTAGCTGCAGGATAAGTTCAGGCTAGTGACGCACTCAGCCTTCTGTTGATCATTGCTGCTGTTTTATACTATTCCAACATAGCTGATAATGCATGTCTGCAATCAATAAACTTCTCTCGAAACCTCGTCCACTTTTCAATGTTGTATCGGATTAACACGATATGCAGTAATGTTGTCTAGTAAGGGATTAGGGTTTTGTATTGGTTCATAATTTTGATATAACTAGCGTTTCTCTAAGTTTTTTTCACTATCAACTACTGAACAAAATAGAAGCTTTTTTAATTGACGAACATTGGAAAGATTAGAATTTTTAGTAATTCATTGGAATGAAGAATTACTGGAGATTTCCTAATAAAACAGAAATGCCTCTGTGCCAAGACAGAGTCTGTTGACAAAATATATCCTCATAGTATCTTAAGTGAATTATTAAGTTGAAGCTACACTAAATGAATTTATACCAGTATGACTCTACACAGGCTTTTAAGATTTTCCACGATTTGAAATAAATTCAAAGACCCCCTAGACAGTGAAGGAAATCAGAGGGTTTTGGCGTTAATCTTTCAGGATTTCCGAAGTGAATATGAAATTGGACTTCTAGGAAGACTGTATTATGAATGATCAGTATCTAAAATGGTTTGAGAAGGCACTCTTGAGGTATCATATATTGAGGTTTCTATTGTTCACAGTATGCTGAAGATTAAATCATCACTATGCTATAAAGTAAGGGTGAAACCTAACTTAAAATACTCATGATTTTTGTCAAATCAAGGAGAACAAAATATAAAAACTGCGCATATTATTCTGAGGCTTCTTTTCAACTGCAGACAGCCTAAAATACACATAGTATTATCAGAATAACAGCATACCTTTTTCATCACACTGGAAAAAGTTTGGCATGAAGATTTTAATCCAAAGAGATAACAATAGGTGAAAAGTGATAACATTATCGGTTATAAATCACATAAAAAGAAAGTGGATATTTATCGTAAATTTGGAAGAATATTCAAGAAGGTTTTTTAGTTCAAGATTAAAGGTAAACTAGTTAACAAAAGAGCCTATTGTTAATGTTAGCAACTTGAAAATAATTTATATATCATTCAAATATTGTTGTAAAGATGGAGATTTTATGTAAGCAACTACATTCGGCAGTAGATATACAAAACATACACTGTAATTTTGTAGCAACTATCGAGTGATCACTGTTCGACTTCATCAGCTGACAGTTTGTATCAGAAGCTGTTCCAATACAAAAGTGGTGAGTGGTGCTGATAAGATTTACCAGTAGTATATAAGGAGACATTCATTGGCATAAAAGCATCAAATAGCAGGGGGATACATTTGATTTCAGAAAAGGCAAATGATATAGAGTTGTAGAGATACATAGGAGACGTGAAAGAAACAAAATACGAAGTCCAGAAGTACCACAACACGAATATCTATGCAAATGGTGCGTTGAAGATAAGGTATACATAATTTGACTACACAAAGATACCATTCCCTAAATTATCAATCAATTATCAAGTCCTCGGTATTCTACCGTTTCAGAATGATTTACTGAGAAATTTAAACCCTATTTAAATCCCTATCACATTTTCAAACCGACAGAAAATTAACTGTTATATTTACATCCAAAGGTATAGGTGTCACGAGACTGCTAAGTAATAAACGATAAAATGATTGTGCAATTTAATATATCAGTAAAAGCTTTCACGATTTTTCAACTAACTGCATGTTCTTCTGTACTTTCATAAAAGTCTACTATGGTGAACAATGTTACATTTTAATCATCACAGTAAGACAGTTATTAGACATCTAGTTTCTTTTTAATCAATAAATTTTATAACAGAAGAAAAACACCGTCAATTGTTTACGGGTATTTATGGGTATTAGTCAACTCACACATCAGTTAAAAACAAAAACACGGAGACATCGGTTAGTTTCTCCTTAGTTGATATTTTTTTAGTTAATATTAATATCGGTACGTCAAAAGAGAATTAATTAAAATCCAGGTGACTAAAAGAATTGTAAAATTTAGTCTAATATTCAAGGAGAACTAATCCAGTATATAAATTTACCCTGAGTCATACCTTTAGATACTCTACTTATGAGCATTCGTTACTACTAGTTTATAGAAGGGTCGCAATGAATCAATAAAAAGAGAAATGACTGATTAGCAATGGCCAGAATTCATTCGAAATTTTCTGCAAAGTCAAAAGAAGCCTCTGGAAAGAGGTTTATTTCTGTATTATTTACGGTGAGTGACAAAGTCTTAGCGATTCAAATAGAAAATCCTGATTTACGTTAACAGAAAGAACTTCTCCTTCGAACTTGGACATAATTCCAACCCCACTTTTATCATCAAAATTAGTTTCCGCCTGTTTTTCATGACATTTTCTGGCATCATTTTAACCAACATTTTTGTTCACTCTCTTCACCTACTATATAACATATTTTGGTACTTTTCTCTGTGATCTTTCATTAATTTCGATTTTTTCTGAAACTTTTTCATATTGTGCAACCTCAGTCTAAACTTACTAATCTTAGTTCTCTAGCTACAATATCTGAATGACTACACACTAGTTTATACTGTTTGGCAAACCTAATTTACACCCGAAAATAAACGAATATATAATTGCGGCCGTACAGCTAAGTCAAAAATTCGCTAAAAAGAGACTCTTCACTGATCCGTTTGTCTTATTTCTATGTGTAAATGGGTATCTTCTTTGGGTTTTTGTGTACGCATACAAATAATTTTATTTTTTTATTTTTTTTTATTTTTTTATTTTTGATTTACAGCTTGATTCCACACTGTATTTTTGGTACAAGTATGGGATTTTCAGCATGGATATCGGTAGCCCAAATTTTGCAGGCCGACCATAGATATCAGGTGTGCGCTGGCGTGGGCTCGAACCCCGGACCATGTGCATGGTGGGCGAGAGTCCTAACCACTGTGCCACCGACGCACCTGTAGATAGTAAATTTTATATTTCTCAGTATAAAAATATTATTTAGAGTGTATGTTACAAGCGAAGCATTGAAATAACATCCTGACGAAATAAATCTGAACAAAATCGCTCTTTTTTTCTGACTTACCAACTGAAATGGAGAGTTTTTCTCTCTTGATGATTCAAAAAGTATTTGCTGTTGTTTTGCAGCCGATATTAAACCTCTTTCAGCAGCCCACCGTATAGAACGTGAATAATCAGGATATGATAATTGAGATTTATTGGTATTTGTTCCACAAATTCGATATAGTGGTTGAAAATCCGCCTTATGGTTATTTAATTGTGTATAAAGTAAACTATCATTTAATTTGTGATTTGTATTGCCATGTAGGAAATTTGCATTCGCTTGTAAATTTCTTCTAACGGCAATACGATGATAAATCTCACTATTCGAGGGTGTGTGTACTCTAGGATAATATGGATTTTGTTGAGTGTATTGAGATGGTACTGAAGTTAGAGTATGCAGTGGCCTACAATCGACTTGAATATGTGATGTATTTACGGCACCAATTTGATTAGATAATGAGGTCTGGTAGAATGGTTCCTGAAATCGATTCGCTTCTGTGTTAGGAGTTTCTGAGTATTGTATACTATGAGATTCACCTCTTAATTGATTGTTCAATAATTTAAATCCTACTGTTGTGTAATTTTGTGGAGAGTTTTGTAGGGAACCTTCAAGTCGAAAGATATGCTGTCTTGAGTACTGAAGCCTGGAATTATCACTGATAGGCAGATGATATAACTGGGATGCCTGACTGATTTGTTCATTAAGATTAGGAGGTCTGTCAGAAAAAACAAAGATAAATTAAACAGTTAGACAATAACAAGCTGAATTTGGAAATCATACAAAATCTCCAGTAATAAATTAAGGGGAACAATTAGGCTGACAACTTTGTACATATTTTTAGTATTCACAACTTAATCCAGAAACCTTATGACAATTAGTAAAGATGATAAGTGCCTAATAAAATTTCACATTATTCATTTTGAAGAGACAATATCGACCAGTACTGATTTGGGACCAAACGACAGTTTATAAATAGTGAGTCGGTGGTTCAATGGTAGCATGTTCGCCAGCCACATATGTGGTCTAGATTCATTTCCTTTCCTAATCGCTCATTAACCTCAGCAGGCAGTAAGTCCAGTAAAGAGAAAATGTTGGTCATGAGGCTAGCAATTAAAGGCGAAAGCTCAGACGTGACACACCAATAAATACTCTAGCTTACATTACTATGAATTCTCACAAAAACCACTTTCACCAAGCCTAAATGAATTGATGAGTATCAAGTTAATGTTATATTCACTTATTATCATGCTAATTTTTGAAAATATTGCCCATAGAAAGTTGATATACATTCTTCAAATGAACTTTTTTTCCCACCATGTCGCAGTTATAAAACATCCTCGATAAAACGTCGTTCGTTAGTAGAATTGTACGACAATATATTTTTTTTTTGAAGTCAATTAAAACTTATGTTTAAGCTGTATTATATGACTCACAAATTACAAAATAACACTAATGAAGATGATACGATCACCTAAGACAGGCTATAAGCAAAATAAACGTATATTTTGTTGAAGAATGGACAAACAAACAGTTAGCTTCCTTTTTTCTAATAAGATCCAAGCTAGAACATTAAACTGAGGGGTAGGTATGTTATATACTCTATACTCAGTAATTTTCAATTGACAAAAACAATGTTAACTTGGATTTTATTCATCGTAACGTATAATTACTTAAAATGTGTCGTGCTTATGTAACATGTCACCTGAGCAATGTAAGAAATATAAGGAATAGTTTTATAAAAAATATCTCTAAAGAATAACCATTTGAGTTAAAATAACGTTATTAGCTAATGAGAGATATTCCTTATTTTAATTTAGATGATGGGATAGTGTCATGTGATGGGAGTAAATACTGGTCTGCATCCTATGAAGTTTTAGACTTTTCTCATACTTCACCTATTACCTAAGATTTTTGATGAAATTCTTACAGTAAACTGCGTCATTTCACGGAAGCAAGTATTCCCTAAAAGGACAAAGTGTTTAGCCTGAATACTAAACAGTAAAACACTTCATATCCAACAGCTAAACTGAAATAGATTGTGAAAGCGTGACGTTCAGACACTGTTAAGTGTTCATCAAGTATTTATATATCTATAGAAGAATTAACCTCGTCCAGATTACTAGCCTGCTAGTTTTTTAGACGGCTCCAAGCCCGGATAAAGAGGGAGGGTTGGGGCGTCGTGCTAGCAACTCCACCCCCAAAACTCAACCAAACTGCTTTAGAAACTTCAACGCACAAAAAATCCTAAAAATATAAACAATAGCCTTATTGTCAGCTGGGATCGGGGAAGTGAAATGATGCAGACTGTTGAAAGCCTTCAGGAAGTCAGTCAGCCGATGTGTCTTCTTTCGATGAAAGCAAAAATAAGGATGGGGACGTGGAACGTTCGTACAATGTTAGAAACTGGAAAGGCTGCCCAGGTAGCCGCGGAAATGAGAAGATATAGAATAGAAGTGTTGGGAGAGAGCGATGGAATGGATGTGGAAGGTTGAAACCCTATATTCCACTAGGAACCCAAGGGAACAATAATAATAAAAGAATTATTCTTGCGCTTTGATTGCTCTAGCTTCAATTTATTCGTCAGATGCTAAATAGGAAACTTCCGAAAATCAGCATTATACAACTGTGTACTATGAAGTATAAATTATAGAAAGGTAGTATGCTTTTGGTTTCACAGATCAATATAAAGTATTTCGTGAGTGAACCTCTCTACAACAGAAAGTGATAGAATGATTTTCATCCTTAAATATGTGCACATATGTATGTATGCTGCCTTCACAACCAATAACACATGTTACACATAGCCACTGAAGTCCTACCACATGACAAGCTGACTATTTTTGCCATCTCAGTTTGCATTTTCATATATTTTATCTTGAGTAATTTAAATTGATTTACAAAATAACAATAAAACTTCTTAATCTTTATGTTATTTTTCTGTCAAGTGTATGAATTTATTATCAATCAAAGTACTCTTACACCACCTTATGATCTCAGTAACTGAATGTTAAAGGACAGTGGCATTCATAATTATGCTGGAAATTGTTAGCTCCCAATGTTTGACTGAATAAATTTGTCAGACTGTATTTAATTTGTTATTTATAATCAAGTTAAAAAATGAGTTGCAAATTACTTTAGATAAAACTTTAGCTAATTATTATGAAAAGCCCTGAATTTTATAGGCCGTAGTCATTGTATTACTTAAAATATAGTAATGAGTACAGAAACAAAGTTCTCTGACTAAATGATTTATGGCCAAATCTAATAGTTACAATCCTGAATATAACTGTCTGATACATGCCATTTTTACATTAAATCATGTAAAGTTAGTAATAGCTGGTAAACATACTATATATAACCCTACTTGTAGGTGTTTTGCGAGAACTCTCATTATTTCAAGCAAATGAACCAAAAATAAAGGGGTATCATATTTTTTAAATGACTACCAGAGTCTACAACTTCTTTGATAATTAAGATAAAGTTTAGCTAAGCTATAAACTAGAAATGCAAAGTTCGCTTAAACAAATGAGATGGTTCCCGTGGCGCAAGTGGTCTAGTGGATAACGCCTTGACGTTTAAAACGATGGATACCGAATTTGAGTCGCAGAAAGGACACCACCACTCAACAAGGATAATACCTCAGGCACACATCTTGCATTTTACTCCTAGTTACCATTCACCAAGAAGGCGTGGCTTCCTGTTGATGTAATATACTCATTTTGGCTCAATGAAAACAACATTTACTAGTCTACATGTAGAACCAGCTAACAGTTCATATTTAAGGTCAGATGGGCGTCCTTGATTCCACTGTAAGCCACTAACAATCAGTTGACATAGAATTTTTTTTAATAATAATAATAACAGCTTTATTCCAAACAGTATTTGTGGTACAGGTATGGAATTTTCAGCGTGCATTATAATATTGCATCTAATTACCTCATAAATTTTATAAGATTTTAAAATCAAAAAGCAACACCCAAAAAAGAAGATAAATAAAAAAAAATAAATAAAAAGAACAGCGTTGGGTTTACATTTTAAACATTGCACTGCAGGATATGAAATATAAAATTGGTGTGTAATAGAAGATGAGAACAACAGTGTAATAGTAACGAGGAAAGGAAAACAAAAACTAATGAGACTATTTGTTAGGGTGCTGCAGTAAGTTGATCGTGTTATACTTAACGGATTTCTTACCACATAACAGCTGTGCCAAATATGGTATTGTGGAGTTTTTGTACTTGGTAGTCCTAGCATATAGCCTCCTATAGCTGCTTCTAGTTCTACCAGATGAAATGCAAGGAGAGAGCTACGTATAGAGAGGATGCTCGGGTCTGGCAATATTGTGTTCGCTAGTTTCTTACATGACATTATATGTCTATCTACAATATTGTTAACCAGTTGGTTTAACGATATCCCACTTGCCCTACCAACGGCTTTTAGTGCCCTTCTGAGCAAAGCAAAGTGTTTCTTAAGTAGTCCAGGAAAGATTAATGGGGGGCAGTAAAGGAAGATGGGTAGAATGCAAGAATTGACAAACTGAGAAAGCAAAGACTGCTTTATGTCAGACTGCCTAAATTTCCTAATATAGAACGTTAAGCGAAACATCTTTCTGGTAACTAGTAAGATGTGAGGGGACTCGGAAAGATCGGTGGAAATACTCAGTCCAAGGTACTTGACATTAGATGTATTTTCAACCTGTGTGCCGTCAATGATAGTAGGGCCATGTGAGCCAACTAGTTGTTGTAGGTCACGTTTACGTCTGAAAGTGAAATTGACTACCTGACATTTAGACAGATTAAGCTCAAGACCGTTTGGAGAGGACCACTGACTAATTTCCGACCGAAAGTTATTTAATTTGGAACCCTCCTAGTTCAGTTAGTAGGTACATTTTCCTGAATATCATCAAACCATGACAAAAAAGGCTATCTAGAGCCTTCAATTCTTCACTAGTTATTCAACTAATATCAATTTCTAACAAAGTCTATCTTGTTAAGAGAATTTGGCTAATTTCAAATTTAAATAAATTCTATCAACAGCAAAAAAACATTTTCACTTTTGGACTTAGTGTTTTGTTTTTTCTGTTGTTGTTAGTGTCTGAAATGGAAATAATTATTTCAGTGATTATCAATTCTATTTTTATGGAATAAGGCAAGCTACAGTTTCTTCCCTGTAGGCAAAACAAAATACCTAATTGCTTAGAGAAATGAAAGAAAAAAAAGAAAAAATTGGTGAACAAGACGTTTTCTTTTTGTCAGAGTGAATAGAAGAAGAAGAGGGTGAAAGATTAAAATGTAATTTGGTGTATTAATATAGTCAGTGTTCAGACATAAAGACTGAATTATTTGAAAAACAGAAGAGTTTCCTCTGTAAATGTAATGAATTCATTTTTAATTTTTATCATTTTATTACTTATTGAAAAATGCATTTACCTACAGAGGAGTGGTAGTCAGCTAAGGGAGTCATTTGACATGAAGAGCTTCCTAGTGTATATACTTGAATAATCGTTTCAATGTGATCCTCAATTTAACAGTAAATACACTTTTTTGAATACAATTATTTCTTACAGACTTAAAATCCAAGTGTATTCAGAGTTCTTATTTATTTTTCAACTTTTAATGAAGGGAAAGAATTATGTTGTCCACGTTCAACTTTACACTTATGGTGAATATTAGTTGAGCGAAATGCATAAGATGCTTTTTTTCTTTTACGTTCCCA